ATTTTCCAATCTAATTTCACTTCCACATGCTTCTTATTTACTTTATTTGCACGCATAATGAGTCTGTGAAGAAAACCCTTCGCTATCCTCATGAAAAAGCATTTACATGTAGATCAAATTCTCGAAATTGGAACGGAGACAACGAGTTTCACTTCGATTGAAACAAGCAGCATATAAAAGTGTCATTGTCGTCTATTGCGAATTGTCATCTAGCCTGGGGTTTATTAATGGTTTGCTAAATGGTTATAAATATCGTTGGATGACTACAGCAGTGATCAATTTGATGAGGTGATCAGCAATAATCGTTGCAAAGAACCGACATGTTAAGCGTACATTTTGCCATAACTCACGACTCGGAAGATAGTTTAGAATAATTAAAATTAATTCATAGGGCAAGTCGATCATTCTCGACATCTTTCATATAATGGCGATACTTCTAGTATTAAACTGAAATTCGGAACTATTTAAAATAAGAAATAATGAACATCTAATACAGCTTTATTAAAAACTTGATAAATCAAAGGAATTAAGGATAAATTTATAGGAAAAACTTGAAAATAGAAAAAAATAAAAAGGCACCTCGAACTGACAAAATCGACAGTGAATTAAGAAAGGTGTCAAGGTAGAATAATGCTTTATTTTCTCTTTGAACTCTGTCTATACAAGTTGTCCACTCGCTCGAGCTTATTTTCGTTGACATATTTATTGCAAAAATGTTTCTGTTAAAATGAACTAAGTTTGACTATTAAACTGAACCGATAAGTGATTAGAAAGTTACTTGAATTCGTTGCCAAACACCCAATAGACAGAAAAAAATCTCAAGATTCCTCTGAAAATTTAAAATTTGTCCCTGCCTTAAGTTCCATAAAACGCGCAAAAATTAAACAGAAGTAAACTCTCATTAGAACAACCAATCAACTTTATTTGAAAAATTCCAAAAGACAAGAGATGCAAACCTTTATTCAGAACATTGCAGTACGCAGTAAAAAATAAATTAATGATGAGATACTATGTCTCATTAAAAGAATAACAAAGGAGAGAAATGAAGCGATTAATATTTATTGTGAGTGAAAAAATAAGTAAAATTGTTTGGGTTTGGAATTTTTGATGAATGAGCAGTAGTTCAAACGCCGAATTCATTGACTAATCAACATATGTTCCCATCTTTTTAAACGCATCTTCGACGTCAAATTCAGGTTCCCAAATAAGTTTCTCATCATGCACAACTCGACGGCGAAAAATACGCAACGGTGTTGCAAATGCTTTTCTCTAAAACAGATAGCTACTCTGTTTATCAATAAATTAAGCAACAAAAGAAATACCATTAATCAAGTTGAGAAATAAAATTGTTTTTTGTCATTTAATTAAATATGGAAACATTAAAAAAGACCACGTACAGAAAAGAAGTGGGAGTAACTGCATCTTAATTTCAAACACAATGAAAATAATAGTATAAAAAACAATTAATTTTCAAGGAAAACAGAAGAGTCCTCCTAAACGAAGTAATCTTGCAGAAAATGAAAAACCATTCTACAATGCAACCATAAAAAACAATTTACTTTATTAATCAAGTAGTTTCCATCGCGATATTTCAGCATTTTATTTTCAAGCATTGTATTAATGATATCTGATGAATGTATGCCGGTTTCATTGCTCATTTCTGCAAAACTGAGTCCTTTAAAGTAAAAAAAAGCTCATATATTTCCGAAATATTTGTAAACTGAAGTATACATAAAGAAGTAAATTAGTGGTACTTTAACAATCCTATTAATATTAGTTCGATGTTGACGAAGCTAAATTTAATGCCTTTGATTGAGAAAGAGTTCATTGGTCGTCGCTTTCGAATGTAGCATATGATCACTGCTTTCCAATAGCTTCGATATGTGATTAAACCCATATCGGAAAGTGGATGTTCAGGTCCACCGATTTTCCGCTCTCGCAGGGAAAGTTTGTAACCTAGGAAAGATTTTCAAAAAACAAATTTATGACAAAATATTAAAAAGAAAAAAAGAACTTTTATTGATATAAAATACAGTTCGCATTGAATAAGATTTGTGAAAACAAAAAATTACTGAGATCAATGAGGAATTTGCCATATCCAGTTCGCTGTGATGATGGAAGCGTCAATAAGCAGCTCAAGTTGTTGTTTTTGCTCGGATTTTTCTCCTTGAACAAACACCATTTTTGAAACAAACAATGATTATTTATCACATGGCCTTAAAAACAGCGATGAAAACAAACCTTTGAGAAATAGCCTAACAGCACATAACCTTCAGCTGTATATTCCGTCAAGATATAAAATAGAAACGTTTCCACCTCATGATGAAGAGTTTTCGAAAACAGAAACAACTTAGAAAGCAAACATAGTCTTCGACAATATGCCTGAAATAGCACCAAAATGTTAGATCTGCAAAGGGCAACGGCGAATTCCAAGTTCCTTCCAAGGACTTTCCAAAATTAACAAGAATGGACAAACGATTTCATCGATGCCGTCGATCTCCCAAAATGACAGTCTACCTTCCCGATAAATTTCATTTCCTGGTGGATGCTTCCATTCGCAGTGAGCCTTAAAAGCGACATTTCATCAAAAGCAGTAAATATAGTAAAAGACAAAATGACCAAACTTGGAATACTCATAAAAATGATATGTGATCTGCGTAAACTTCATCTTAAATAATTAGTATAATTAGTAATTAGCATACAGGCGTCAAACAAATGTTAAACGAATAAATTTGCAAGAAATGAATAGAGAAGTACCGCATGTATTTCGTATAGCGTAGAATCTTCAAGAGCAATAAGACAGAATCGACATAAGTAAACATTGGATGACTGCGCGATACGTTTTGGATAGGGTGACGGATACATTGCCAATAAACATTCGGGACCGAAATGGATCCACTGTGCTTGAGGAGGTCTTTCTTCATCAGCATTCAAATCTTCCGATGGTTGAGATGCCAAAAATTCTTTTTTAGCAGTCGTGTATCTATAGTAATAAATCATATTCTAAAGTGAAAACGCGTTAGGAACTCGAGTTTCCATCTCAGCAGGAAACATTTTAAAAAATAAAAATTGACCAACCACAAATGTTCGGATACGGTTAGCAATCATTTTTCTTCTGGGTAATAGTTAAGAATTTGTTAACTTCATCTCATTTTTTAAAGAAGGCGTAATTATTTGATATCTCGTCGTTAATTTCAAAACCTAACATTGTGTATCGTAAAATGCTAGCAGATGAAATGCGAGATAAAGAACTTACAAATTATAGTCAAAAGCAGTTGAATTATCCTTCATCGTTCTATGTTTTTCAAGCTCTGTTAACTGCTCGGAAGCATCCCGTTTGGCATTATTAGAAATTTTAATTCCATCAACAATATTAATATGCCTAGCAGATTCATTTTCCGAATCGCTTCGTTTTACTTTCTAAAAAACTACAACGAATTTACACGATACTGACTTTTTACCACTCATGAGAAATGAAAATATTTCTTTCAACAATGCCGATGGTCGACTAACGCGAATCTATTTCGAGGTTTTGAGTCACATTTCAATATGTGGCAGTATACCTGGGAAAACAATGAGATTTCACAAGAAATGATGCTTTAAGAACTTGATATTTCAATAAGTTATGGTGCAAAGAACTTGGAAAAATGATAGTGTTTGCACATGATGACAACAAAAACGAATAATGTCTTAAAACAAACACCAGCAAAAGTCCATGCAAAGAAGGGAAAAAAGAAGTAAAAGTAACCTTAGGGTTTTTTGCAGTTATTTTTTTCTTTAATGAAAAATTCTCTCTTTCAATTTGTCGCCTTATTTGATTTTTTTCTTTTTGTTCTTTATCCTTCAAATATCGATGACAGGAATCTTTCAGCTGATCGTTTATCTGGAAATTCATGAATGCACAATTCTTCGCTAAAGGAATAAATTTATAACAGTGTTCAATGTCATTTTCTAATCACTTAATTCTAGTAAAAACACAAATTTAGAAAGTAGCCGCCATGGAAATATAATACTGCAATATGCTGTAAAAAAAAAAGGCACAATGAAAGACATACAGCATCTCGCTCAGCTTGTAACCTGGTTTTCCAGAGAAAGGCTGCTGTGTAATCACGCCTTACGTGCCAGGAATGTGACTTCCTCCTCGCTAATTCATTTTCTTGCACAGAGCTATTTGATGAAGAGGAGCTATTTGACGATTCACTGAAAAATCCAAAAGTTAGTCAATGTCAGTCAAAGAAAAGCAATCTCTTCAATCCCTTCTACTTCTTCGTTTTCAGAATCGTTAACATTACTTTTAACTGACAGTTTGGAAGATTTACCAGCTATTCATCGCCCTTCAAGTTTTTTTTTTCTATCTCGAAATCTGAAAAACAACCTAATCCTGTGTTTATTATTTTAAATTTCCTGGAACAATTCAAAGATAAATCAATATAGTGTTTGAAAGATCAACTCCTTTGTATAAATTAAATAAGGAACTTGAAACTGAATTGAAATCACATGATGTTACACTGTTAATCAGAAACTGAAACTTCAAAAGCTATATTTCGATTCTCTAATCAGAGGCATTTCTCTGTGAATGTACTATTGCATTTCTCTTGTCAGTTATACATTAAATAGTCGAGTTTTTGGATGAATTCTATACATAAAAGTTTCATTGATTTGTCAGTTCAAAAACTATATAGCACGAAAGAAATTTTCAAGAATGCTTATAAACTAACTTATTTTCGACATCCAAAATATGTTTACATTCTGAACAGAACCAATTTGAAAGTGGATCCTTGGAATTCATCCATGCTCCAGAACTTGGTCTGCAAGTTCCATGAAAAGCTGCATCGCATGCAAAACACTGCACATTTTCCGGCTGAAAATCGTAAAAACTATATAATCTGCTTTAGTTTAAATAAAAGCATCAAAACTGAATTAGTTGGTTTAGAAGACAGTAGCAATAAGAAGAGAAACAAGAAGGTCCCAATTCAAAATATTTCATATGTGAATTTTGGAAAAAGTTAAAACTCCAAAAACTTCCAAGCAAAGCAAGAAATTAGTTATGAATAAAGACGTTATTGGTCTGTACTGTTCGGATGCACAGTCAATAGTCGTTTTCTAAAACTTTTTGATGAAAAAGAAAATTTCTCAATAAAAAGTATTCTACATTCAAATATAGAAACTCACGTCATATATGAACGCATTGCAATTGTAACAATATATACATGTTGGACAAAGCCATGTGTAGAATCGTTTTTCAGACACTAAACGTACAGATTCTGGCGCATACCCCAAACATTCCAAGTGGTCTGAAGGAATCAAAGGATAGAAGCCTCTACATGGCAGGATTGTACTAATTGGATGTTGGCTACAAATTTTAAGAATTCACATTAAGAATTACACATCAGATCTTCATAAGGAAAAATGAGCTATGAAAACAATATATTCAGGCTAGGAATCATGTCTGACTAAAAGAATAATGTATCTGGAGATGTCCGACTTTATTTCGTATCTCTATTGATCCAGAGCATTAAAAAGTTTTCCTTTGTACTCAAAGTGACCGGAAAGGTACTCAGCATGAAAGCTCCAATGTGAAAGAATTATATTAAAAGACTTTTGATAGGAAAATTTACATTTGCTTTCACAAACAGAACATGTCATAAAACCATCAGCACCTATTTTACATAGTCGACAGTGGTCTGTTCCTCGTGACCTGAAATGAATTCGAAAATATCACTTCCTCAAATTAGCAATACATTTTAAAAGGTGTTACGGCATACTGACTGTAATTCCCAAGATTAGCTGACCGCTGAATCACAAGCAATGAATTCAAATGTCAAAAATAAAACTGAAACAGGCACTGTTTTTTGTGTAGTCCTCTGGTTTTGATTGGAGAAAATGTAGAGGGAGAACTTTTCTGCTGCTTATATTCCTTGACTTTTGCCGAAAATTTTCCGCTTTTTCTCACAACGACAGATAAGCCTGTAGAAGTTCGTGAATTAAGTCGAGTTCTCTTCGCCGCTGGGAGCCTGAATGATGAAGACTGATAAATAAAAACGATGAAGGTATCTAAAGTTACGCCACAAAAAAAGCTAAAGTGTATGAACCGCAGTAGAAATGACCTGACAAGTGTAAAAAATTAGACATAGGCACGAAGTGGTTACACTTTACAATATTTTCCAACAAAAATCACAACACAAATTCGCTCAAATCTGGGTTAATTAATTTTCGCTTGACCCACAATATTAAATAATAGTATAAATTATATCATTTTGCTAGTACTATTGTTTAACAGAATTTCCATCAAATATATCATCCCATCCATGACAAGTTGCTCTGACTTTCGGGCAATCTGAATACCTGCAAATTCAATTCAGTTTTATTTGCGTAAAACTAATTAAGCTTAAATCGCTAATTTACCTCCTGCTTCTATTATCATCGTTCCCAATGGTTCCCGAAGATGAAGCAGTCTGAATGGGCAAACCCCTTATCCTCCCATTCCCAAAAGTTATTTGTTGCTGTCTTTTTTTCGATGCTTTTGTCGCTTCCGATGTCGTCTTTCGAGTTTTCATTTCTGTAACGCATAAATTTCGCGTGCTGATGCTAACGTGAACGTGTCACGAATTGTAAGATGTCTCGACCGGAACGTTATGAAATACAGAGAAATGCGTCATCATGGCTTACATGGAGGACAATCGGAATTTTTCTTCTGCAGCTTATTGTAAATTACGATTGTATACGAATTCACATCACCCTTCTCTCCACTTCATCACTCACTTCTAGTTATTTCGTGTCTTACATAACACACATGCCAAACATCCTAACAATGTGCATTACCCACATGACTTCACGAATTACGTACAGTCGTTCCACAAAATGTATTACCAAAATACTGCTCACAATCATCCATCCCGTGAAGTTTCCCATTCATTGCAGCGTAATTTTCAAATTTAAATTAACAAATGTATATACTGGTAGGAAGAGAAGAGAGACTGTCAGGACGAAGAGATCGTAGAGATACTGGGATGCGGAAGGGATATGTACTAACTGATATCTTAACATACTGATCAATTATCTTTATAAATGTTGACTTGGTGGTTTCGAGCTCTGCACGTATGTCCAACTCAAATGATGAACACTAGGCCAACGCTGCTACTGCCACTGTTACTACACTGCTGCTACCGCTACTCTGCTCTAAACTATAGCTTCTTGGAATTTTTGCTGCAGCATAGTTCCTCAGGTTAGGTATTCCTCACACTGGATAGTGTAGCACCGACGACGCTAGTAAGTTTCCAAAGCTTTTCTCAACGCTTTTCAGGACTCAAATACTAAGAGTGCTGTTACTAAGTAAAAAAGACGTTTCTTTTGCCGTCGCAAAAACCAGCAGATCTATCTTCTGTTTTTCCTTATCTCAATCAATTAAGTAAGATAAAAGTCTCCATTTAAAGAAAAAGAAATCAGTAATTAATGGTACATAGACGATGATATGATTACTACTATTACTTCAATCAATATTTTTCTCTCATACCTAACAAGCAACTCTGCTCTATTCCCCTCTTCCTAACACTGATAAGCAGAGCAAGACATCAATCATAAGCCAAGCCAACTGATAGAACCTCTTAAAATCTTAGCAACTTATTATATCTTTACAAAACATTCCCAATAGTTGTGCTTGTTTTTTTTCTTTTTTACAACCTTGCAAACATACTATGTTATACAGTTATGCTTCATATGAGCTCTGTTGTCTTCCTTTACCAACCCTAGCATCTCATCTTCCTCCAATGAGTCGAATAATGTTTAAGGTCTCGTAGAATGTTAAGTGGTTTCACGTACATCGCATCCATCTTCTACAGAGATCTATTAGTTCATTTTCAGCCAGGATGTGACTGTCTGACGATTGTTATCATGACTCATAGGCTTTTCACATTTACAGGGTTACTTCCGCTGGCCCTAGTTCTTAATGGTCTTGTGAAATATATGTTACTGGTGGTTACTTCAGTGAAAATATGTCCAATATTTACGAAAACTGTCCTCATTCTGCTCTTTGCATTCCCAACTGCCCTTCTTTTTCTTTCTGTCTCGTTTTTCCAATTTATGATTATCTTCTGTCTAATCTTTCGTCTTCATCTGTTCTCTCGTTTTCAAAAAGGCCTTATACTTTTTCCCCTTAACATTTCCAGTTCTTTCACGGCTTACATGTATTTCACAGCATTCGCATTGATTTAATTGGTCTTGTTTGTATTATTTAGCCAGGAGTTTCTCTTGTTACGATCATGACAGGAAACACCTCAAATCATTAGTCGTCCAACTTATTTTGTAGAATGTTTCTGAAAAATATGTTAAAATATCAAAATGTCCTCTCCTCTCCACTTTTTTTCTCACACAATTTTAAAGCAAAAAAGAAAGAGTAAGATGTGAAGGCGAGGTAATAAAAAGGTGATAAAAACTGGAGAATTTATTGTCCAGGCAATTTGAGATGATTTATAGCATAAACAGTATAACATAAACAATACCAGTAGATCTTGAAGCAGCATCAACTAGCAACAACTCGACTCACACAGGGTGTAGCACTAGCATCTTTCGAATTACCACTTTTTTATGAAGTAAATTCTTGCATTTTATGATTCAAAAATGGTCAAGTCTCTATTTAATATGTGTTTGGCGGCTGCGTGCCAGCATAACTTGTATGGATATCTGGCCGATTTACCCACGTCTTGCAAGCAACGTCTTCTCGAGTTCTTCAGCTCACATGATCAGGTATTACACTACGCTTAGTTGTAATTACTAAAGATTTTGACCCTGGACATTTTATCGGTATAGAAATGGAAATGTTCAAAATCGTATTTCGGAACTTCGAGATGAATTTAAACCTTGGATTTAAATATGTTGCCTCTTTGCACCTCTTAAAAAACTCAACACAAGAAGCCTTGAAATATTTGTGTCCATCATTTTTGTCCCATTACGCCAAAACTGATCATAATGATACTTGAGCGATTCCAACAGTAATTGTTTTTTTTCTTTTATCTAGGCAGGAAGCTATTTTTATCATTAGATCAGACGAAATGAGGTTAGCAATCACTATGCGACTCTTCGATTCAAGGAATGCCTTAGTGATTGGTATGTCTTTCCTCGATTAAATCATTTCGAATGAATCAGAACCATTTTTAGTTATTTCTGTCAGAATGCGCTCAACTTGTATCATCCCCTTCATTTGGAAGGGATCTTACCGAATTGCGCTTTTATCTAAGCGATCAAGTGACTGACGGTGTTCTGGAAGCTATTGCAGCGCATAATCGTGCACTTCAACAAATTGCAATCATTTTTTGTCAAAACATCACTGATAAGTTAACGACTCTATTTCCTTAAATTTCATTCCAAGTTCGAATTTAGCAGATTCTCAGTGAATAAATTGGCACAATTCATCTTAGTAGGAATGCTATTACCTGAAAACTTCGGAATTCGTTAAATCTCAATCCGATTTCATGAATTTAGATTTCAGCTGGATACATTTTGTTATTTTTGTAGATGAAGAGAAGACATAGAAGAGAGAGAATGGATGTTAAGAAAGCATTTCATCAACAACAATTTTCAGATTTCTGAATTCCATTTCAGGGCATTAAAGCAATAACAAGTGGACAACGAAAACTCGAGAAATTAGAATTTAGGGCGTTGAAGAAGCTTACATCAAGTGGTTTATCACTGATAAAATCCAATTCCTTATACACTGTTGACCTAAGCTCTTGCACAAAGGTTTGCCTTTGAGTATCGAATAAACTGATCAAAATTGTTGCAGTAGGCGTTTCATTTCTATCTAAATTTGATCTCTGATTCCTTCCAACTTTTAATTGCTAACATGGGGAATTGACATTGGTGTAGTGGTGTAGAAACTGTGTATTACGCGACAACTCAGCGGTTTGTCTTCTCAAGCCCTATGAAGAAAGACAAGATGACGAGTCTGAGTCAGTACGTTGTAAAGTGCAGTTATTGCGCTTTACCGTGTTTAATCATGCTGTGTGGAGGCATTTGTCCGAGGGCTTGATATGATTAGTTCATGAATTTGTCGATTAGGTGATTCTTGAAGACTATGCAAAACATAAAATGAGCAAGTCTGGGAGCAGGTCACTCTAGATTTGTTTCTCCATCCGCTTTACAAGCGGGGTCTCATTCCTTTAGATGTTACTACACTCTTTTCCTTCCGGTAGATTTTACAGTTTGGATATCGTTTGTATGTCTGCTAGTCTTTAATAAAATCCGTCAATTTCATAGTTTCAATTCAGATCGAAAGCGATGGAATCTACCAGCTCGTTTACTTAAATCGTAATATTCATTGTCTGTATTTGAATAATTGCAGAGGTTAGTGCTTTTAATAATCAAAATAGAAATAGTTCTTATGGATTTTGTTTTAGATATACTTCCAGTATTATCTTGAAACTTAATACTTTCATGTCGATACATATCACTTCATAAGTGTTCGCTTTAATTTTGTTCTTTAATTATTGTTTTTGTGCTGCTGACTGAATTTCGTCGACGAAATTTCAGGTCTAAATGATCAAGCACTTTATGATATCGCACACTATCTCGGAGATAAATTGTCAGTTCTGGAGCTAGATTTTTTACCAAATGTTGTCGACCCATCTTCTGCTCTATTTTATTTGAGTCGTAATTGTCCAAACATCAAACAGTTATCGCTTTGTCGCTTTTTCGGAGTATTCTTTTGAGGGATTTACTTGAAAATTTGTGTACATTTATTCGACCGGTAACTCAAAATTAAAGTTATGTCATTAAGTGGCTTGTATATATTTGTTTTTTTAAAAACGTTTTTTATATTTAGGTAGAGAGAGAGCGTGCGTTAATGCCCGGATACAGAATTGCTGGTGTAAGACTGCGTGATGTTGATTTACATGGTTTGTTTCATTTACCTTGATCTTCTGTTTTCACCTCTGCATTCATTCGATTTCTTATTCTTATCCTTCTTTAGTATTTTTTTTTTTTGTATAATTGGTTGATGAACACGGCATACATAGCTATTCACTTAATATTTATCAAGCTCTTGCTTAACAGGTGCTGTGTGGGAAGTTTTATTTTATCTACTTATTATCCATACAAATATATTCATTTATGTGTCCAATTTTAAGGTACTTGTTTCCATACTTACCTAAAAACAATGAAATCTCTTGAAATCATTGCTGTTGGGTTGTAATTCATGATATATATTAAACCATCACTTGTTTCAGGAAATTATTTTTTCATTTTACCTCTATTACCACCAACGGTAAGTAGGATACGGTTGTCGGTATGCGGCGATGAGGATGTAAATAGTTTAATTGATCGTTTGGAGACGCTACCTCAACTGACAAGTGTCCATTTACAAATGAACTGCAAGGAACCAAGCTGGGTAAGGACTTAATAATTTTGTTAGCTTCATATTGGCCAGTTATTATCGAAATCTTTGCCCTGTTGTCTGAGAATAACCCAGTACAGGTTACTAATGGACACAAACTTCCATGATTTAATTGCTTCACTACTAGTTCCCTATCCTTTATCTCCCTTCCGCTCCTTTTCTTTTTCATGGGAACATGAGATTTTGAAAGTTTAGTCGTAAAAAGCAGCTATTTCCTCGTTCAAATTGAATGCTATGCAGAAAAATGACATGGTAATTTTTATATATGCTGCAGAAGCATTTCACCATTCCAGCTTTAGGGTTTTGAAGACATGATTGTTATAGGCACTGTTAAGTTTTCATTGGTTTCCACTTAATTATTCATTTTCAGCGATGTGTAGAAGATGCTAATACATTCTTACGTTCCACCTTACCTTATATTGGAGGCAAAATAACGCGACTCCATGTAAACCTTTAATTTCCCAAATACCATATGATTTTGAGATAGAATTTTTTAATTTTGAATTCCCAAGGGAAACAACCGCTACCATGTATATAGTTAGCAGTACTTCGTTCTGTTTCTAAGCTTTTCGATCCTGAATTCCCAAATTCTTTAATGTCTTCTGAATTTCGGAAACCTTTGCGGAAAAGAACCTTTTCTCTACCAGTTTTTAGATATCGTTGCCAACGATTATTGATGGCGTCTTCAGTTTGATAACGCAGTGCCTACCAAATTTAAGTCATTTGGCACTTGATGTAAAACACATCAATAACAAGCTACTGCGGTTGTTTTTCGCTGGTTTGTATTTTGATTCCCCCAAATTTTCTGGCTGTCAATTTTGGACAGTGGAACTGAGTTCGAGTTTAACAAACTAGGCATATTTTTGAACTTTTTAGTTCCAGTTTCCCTCCTTGTCACCCAACAGTTTTGTCCAAAATTTATGCCGAACTTCATCCCTATTCCAGGTGGAGTCCATTCGCCAGGTTCCAGATTGCGATCGCTGAAATTGTGCCGCCTTCGAACAACTTACAGATCTCTGTTCGCGATTGCACGTGGCGCACATTCAATCACAGTACACAAAATTTTAAATTTCTTGACCTCTCTCCAAATTTACACGGACTACATGTAGATCAAATCTAGTAACTATTCTAGTATTTCCTGTCTCGCTTCAAGCTCTGCCTTTCCGTTTGGTTTTAAACACATTATAGATTGTTTCAAATAGTTTAAATTTAGAAAAGAAAAATGAAATTTAATATTTAGCAGTGCCATAAAAACAGCGCCACTAGCAAAAATGGGTCGTTGCTATCCCTCTGAAAAAATTTTTCGATTTGATATTCTAGGACTTGGAAGTATCGCATATTCCATGTGTCGATGATCGTTTCCTGGCGCTGCTAGCAGATAACTGCATGGATTTGAAGAATATTAATTTGAATGGTTGTAAATATGTCACCGACGAAGGACTTGCTGCACTGGCGCGGTGACTTTGTTTAGCTCATAAATTCTATTACAAATTCATCTGCTTTTTACAGTTTACAGGCCCAAAAAATGTTTTCCTAAGATGTAAAATTAACTCCAAAATTAGATACGGAAAATTTCTACTTTTGCTTTATACTTAGATAAGAATTTGTATTCATTAAAATTAAAGATATGCCCCATCCTATTGAATTCCCTCCCAAAAGCTTCAAGTTTTGAGTTACAAAAGCCCTCTAGTATCAGGTAATTAGATGGGTGCAGCCCCAAACTATATTTCAGGAAGTGTTGCTTAAAGGAAGTGCGAATACGTGCAACGTCATGTACCGATAAGTCAATCTATTTGCTGGCGCAGTTTTGTCCCGACCTTGAATGGATATCATATGCTGATTTCAGCGGACGTCCGAAGTTCAGTGACAAAGCATTACAGTGCCTCAAAGATTCCTGCGTGCAAAGGGTTATTTGCTGAATAAAGAAAAACAAACCACATGTGGAGAATATGACAACTTATTCCCCTAATTTAACTTGAAAGTTTCTATCCTAGAAACTAAAGGAAACAGAACGAAGCGGCCAGACCACTGTCTTGTGTTCTTTGACCTCTGTTGGAAACAGAATGGACAGGATAACATCAGCTCAGCTCTTTACGCCGTAAAATTTCACACCAAATAATCTTTCATCTGGCTCCTTCAGAAAGGCATACTCCAAGAATTATGCGATATGCCGAATTTCCAAAATTACGATCTGATTCTCTTACCCCTCGTTTTGATTTCGCAATTTATGATAACAAAAGAATTATATCGGAATCAGTTCTTCTTCACAGACTTTCATAGATTTTATTATAAGAAAATATCCATGTCCGAAAAAATTCAAAACCCATTAAATAGGAAACCGCCGACTTAAAATTAAGAAAAATGTATAGCTAGTATCGGAGAGAGAAAATGTATTTGTCTCATTTTGGAACAAAACTTCATGTTAACTTCTGGCAGTTTCCAACAATGGCCACACGGCTCACCATATAGAGGTGTAAGAGTTGTAAAAAAGCTATTGATAACCCACAATCATAACATATGATCGGCGAACATAAATATCGAAGAAACAGACAATCCTGCGAAATAAAATTACCTCAACAAATTACTGCGGAGGCTGCGTACCATTTTCATGCGGTCCATTCCTATCGCTTTCATTGCTAGGACCTCCTAAGAAATAAATTTGCTGATAATTTATTCAAAGGTTTTGATATTGAAAATGATATCTGCGTTTTACGTCCAAACATTAAAAACGAAACGTTGTCTAAAAGTTATGTAAAGGAAAACGAGGCTAGCAATCGATAGCAAGCAGTCCATTATTAAATAAATGCAAACGATAAACCACCTTGGCCCTGAAACTGTTGCCTTAACTGTTCAACCAAATCTGGATTAGCACTCTGCATCTGCTGGGCTAACTGAAAGCGATTAGGAACAGTAATACGTACCGCAATAAAAACACCGCAATTTCCGCAATAAAAATGACATCCCAAATCGGTTAGAAAAGCCTGTTTACTTTAGTTTAATCTTAAAAACCAGTAATTCTTTTGCACTCACTATAAACGGAAACAACCTGCTGGCCGGCTTCAATAAGATTAGAAACTCCAGCATTTGATCCATTTCCCAGAATACCAGTCATCATTTGCGACATCATATTCTGGATGTTCGGGTCAGACATCAGCTGTCTGGCCATGTTCATCATTGCTGGATTATTCAGCAGTGCAGTCATGTCAGGCATCTGAGAACCAAACAACTGAAATGAAACAAAATCTTGTGAAATTTACCAGCTATGAACTAAACACTTGGAAGAGGACGGCAGAACCTACCCCAGGACCTTGTCCCTGCCTGAATGATTCTTCCAGCTCTTTCAGTTTATCTTCCGCAATTTTCAGATTGTTTTTGTAGCTTTCTTGCTCTGGATCCAATTCTAATGCTTTTTTATATGCTTCTACAGCTTGCTCATAACGATTCTGGCAGGAGAGTGCCAACCTAAAAAAATTAAGTAAAGTTTCATTTCATCCAGTTGTTCACGTTTGGATTATATTCAAAAGACGATGGCTTGATGGATCATACTATATTTTCACCCCATTCGTCCGTAAGCTTTGCTATATTTTGGATCCAAGGCCAGTGCAGCACGACAGTCTTGTATCGCCAGATCATATTGTTCTAGCCGACAGTAAGCTGCTGCTCTGAAATGCATCATAAACATGAAATATAATTCGATCAGGAGACTGGCAAAAAACATGGGAACTGTCAATCTATGGCATGCTTTCTAAAATCTAAATCAGAAAAAATGCCTAAAAATTTTAATGTTTCCCTTCCTTCGAAGTTTTTTCCCCTTAAACATTTAGGAAATTTCTCATTATGTTGACCTCAACCAGAACATTAATGAACCACATTTTTTCATCTATATGAAAGGAAAATGAATTACAGCATCATTTCTAGACCTACCGATTGCAGAAGTAAGCCGGATCTTTATTCAGTTTGATAGCTTCATTGTATTTTAAAAGAGCATCTTCAAACTGCGAAGATTTCATCAAAGTATTCCCTTCTTCTTTTAAATTATTCGCAATTTTGATTTCTTCCGCAGTTGGTTTCGGGAAATCACCAACTCCCTAAAAATTCATTGTGTCGCTTCTTTTTTTTTTTTTTTGATTTTTCTGCATTTGCATCCAAAGAACTTAGCTCAGGCAATTAAAAGCATTCGTTTTCAGAGGTGTAACCACAAAGACTAGCATGGAGATGGAAGATGAATTGAGCTGAATAATACTAAGTCCTGATGATTCTTTTTTCGCGATTGTTAATTGATTTAAAAATAAAGCATACGGCAGGAAGACCCTCAGCTGCAACGAAGATATCCAAAAGAGGTTTCGATGGTTGGAACAAGTAACTGGAATCAGTGATCTCAAATGCTGTTTCAAGGCATTGAACAGCCACTGAAAAAGATTTTTCTTATAAGTTTAATTGAATCTACGACACGCCATAAACATTAATTCTCTCAAGTTTACAATAACTTCTGAGACGTATTAACCGAATGGCAGTTAATAAATCAAGTAGATATCAGGAGCTAACTGTCAATGTTACAACTTTAAGATTACAGAAATGAAACTACATAATGAACACAACGATTCCTGTATAGGCTTTCATAGGTTTTGTTGTGAAGCTGCTTCTTGTTTTGATCATGCCAACAGCTGAATCACTGAATCATAAAATACAATGAAATACAAGAACAACAACCTTCAATCCCTTCGACCTGATCAGTTGTACATTGTTCACGTGAAATACGTTGACGTAAGAATTGAATGAATGAAACGACGAGATTCTTTTCGTCACTTACATCTTGGTTCTTGTGACTCGATTCTACATTGCTCGATGCTGCATCAGCTGAGTCATTCATTCTCGTAGCTTTTTTCTCTGGCACTCTGTACTCCCCAAAATCTGAAAACTATGTGGCTTCATTTTTTAAGACCTGCAACACTGTTTTTTAAAGTCTGAAGAGCATACCATAATGCGTCGGAAGTTTCTACTGATTTGCATACTGCGCTCTTAGGAATACGAACTCCCAAAAAAAAAAAAAAAAAAAAAATAACCGCTAGATTTTGCAGATCACATTTGGATCAATTTCATATAGGAGAAAAAGTGAAGAGACGGATGCAAAGATAACAACATACCCATTATGAATAATACTACTTATACAATACTTAAATGAATCTTAAAGAAACAAGTACGCACGTCCACCCGTACCACTAGCGTAACCCATCTACACATGCTGTAACTATGCCATTAACGAACCTGACATTGAATGCAACTAACACATCCCATTGACGAATGATGTACCATGGGAAAGCGGGAAGGTGTGGAAATGGAAGAGGATGACCTACTTTTAAGTGAAGGGATGATTTGGGAATTCCCAGGAAAGGAAGATCTCCGTCTCTCCATGATTAGAAGAGTGCTGTCTCTGAAAAAAAAGCATTGTTAATCTATTCAGTAATGGGATACACAGCAGTTGCTCATCACTCGTTTGATAAGGTTAAATGATCGGGGCATTATCAGGATGAGTTGGCATACATTTAGTAAGTGCGTTAAAGTGATCGTAATATTGTGTGTGGACCAACTCATTGCACCTATTGTTTTCGTTTTTTCTTTCAAACAAACAGATTGGTTCTTTTTTTTTTTTTTTTTAGAGCAAATCCCTCATTTCAAGTGAAAGGGACTTCGTGGTTTCCCCTGCTCAGACAAGTTTATCTTGCAGTCTTTCCAACAAACTGGAAATTCAGCTGTATTGCTTAATTCAGCTATGGTTATACTTCCGTATGTTTATCGGGCATTTATCCATTGCCGTAGATGTTTAACATGAAAAGATGAACTCGAAATGCAGAGAATTACTATCATAACATGAAGCCTCGGTCTTTGACCTGAACCGATGTTGTTCACAACAAATTCAAGATGAAGTAATACCACCAACTCCTTGTAGTTTGAAAGTTTGACTTTACGATAGGAAAATGGAATTGTCATTCCGAGGAATCCTCCCAAAATTTTGTAAACTAATTGTGTAGAAGTAGCACAACTCACAATGACGGAAATTTCTGACCTTTGTTTCGAATCTTCCACCACAGCTTCATTTCTAGTCTTTGTATTGTTTAAAGAGTCCAAAAGAAATGATTTTTAGGTAATCATTTTAACATCTATGAACAGTAATAATTTATATCTTCTAGCGGAGTACAAGATGTACATTAAACAAGAAGATAAAAATTGGAATTAATGCATTAATGACAGAAAAGGAATGACGAGAAACTTGTAGAAGGTACATACACAATACATTCATAACTAAATCACATCAAAAAATTGTCAAAGAGCTAACTGTAATTTGGTAATAGTTTAAAAGGTTCAAAAAAAAGGTTTAGCGTCCTTTCAGTTTTCCCCATTGAAATGCTCTTCAAAATTTGAAACTAAAATGCCACAGTGTAGTGTGCAACCGCTTACTGAATTGAATTTAGTTACCTCATCCAGACCATAAAGGATTGTTCGTCTTGCCGCGTACATGGTTTATTTAAAGCGTTAAGGTAGCTGATTAGATTATTTTCATTGTTGACTTCATTGCCAGCTTTCCTTTTCCCGCTAAGCAGCTATATTTATATATAGAATTACATGTAACGTCTTATAGTTCCACGTGGAGATTCCTTATACAAGAAACTAGAAATTCAACTTATATGAGAGATACAAGATGTAACTTATTGTCCTTGTATTTTTATATCTACGTCATAGAATCTTTAAATTTAAGACTTTCTAAAGTCATATTAAAAGACAAAGAATTCAGGCAATTCGAGTTCGAAGATACTTTTCGGTTTGCTGTAACATCCGCATTCGTTCATACGATTTGCATCGTCATTTCGCTGAAGCAATCGTTTCACAGTTCGCGATAAATCAACTTCTTCATGTTCCTGATGTATTTCTTCCACAAGTTTATTGAAATCCTGGGTGCGGAACTTATCCAGAATTCTTTGTGTCCGTTTCTGTAAGAGAACCATATTAGAATCAGATTTGAGTTTGAATACGATACGAGTCAGCAGTAGTATTTTTTCCAGTGCATTAATAACAGTTGTATGTCCAATTTCCTTTAAACAATAAAACTTAGCTATTACAGAGCTGCTTATGTTTTTTTTACAGATGAGTATGCGTCCAACTTTCTGTACTTAATATGACACTGGGAAAGTTAAGCTTCAATAACAAAAAAAAACTTGGAAGAAACACACAAATAATGATGTATACCTGTTCCCTTTTTTCTTCTTCGCTCGGATCAGTTGGCGCATTCGTTCTCTTACGCAATTCATTAACAGTTGTAGCGGGAAGATCGGATTCTGCAATATGTAATATTAAGAAAATAATTCCAGTGGAGAAATGACAACAAACGAACGATACAAAACCAGTATTTTGAGTAAGTCTTTACTATAATATTTCAAATTGTATGACAACTTAACAAGCAAAGAGGAAGCACGAGAGGACCCCGTGCTTATATCATTCTTTCGTCATTTGAGGAAATTCTTACTTTCGCGTGTTGATGAAAAGAGTGTATTTTTCCGTGAAGTTTGTATAGATTCTGATGGACTCCAATCAATGCTTATATCAACCGAAATTGTATTTTCGTCAATTCCACTATTATCTGTTCCATCAACATTATGCATTTTTTCAACTTCTCTGAATGGCCAGTCTCTATTTGCCATCATGTCACCCGATATTAGTGACGCTAGTGCTGCGCCCTTCGAAACGAATGCAACCGTCAGGTTCTTCACATCTTTACCAGTGGCCTAAAATAATGCAAGCACGAGTCAGTTAATAATACAGGCAATTTCAAAGTATAGTCAGGTAAAGGCAAACCTTAAAAGGTAAAAAAGTTGTTGTAAACAATTCAAATATCTACTTTTCTACCTTGAGCATTTCACTGACGTCATCGATATCGAAAAGAATTGTTGCATCTTCTTCAAGACAAAGTGCTGCTTGTTCTTCATCGTCATCACACGCAAGCGGCGCCTTTTTCGGACTCTTTTTATCAGGTTGTAATTCTGGCAAAACGTTCAGTAACGGATGGGCTCGTAACGCCCGTTGCTTTACAATCTAAATCAAGTGATTTATTCTATTACTTTTTGAGTTTCCACTTTAAATTTAATATTTCGAGATGGAAATGCAAAGTTATAACCGTCCTTGTGACTCACTTCATGTGCCTAAGTTTAAAATATGCACAAACGTTTTAGTCCTAAATAATATTCTTAGCAAAATTCTTGCACATCTCGCTCCCTCCACGCCTCAAGCACATAAGAATATCACTTCAGCAATTTAGAAAACAAACGAAAAGCACAAATTCATCAGACATAGAATGCCTTTAATTTAAAAAATATTTTTACTGAACTTTCCACTAATTCACAGATTTATCAGACCAAAAATCGCTCAGTTTTGTCTTATGCCATTATAAACTGAAGCGTTCCGAAGATTTTGGTGCAAGCTCTTCAAAAAATAAGTTACCTGCTGAACATGTTGACAAAGCGATGGTATGGCCATCAGCTGACTACTGAAGTTAAGATATTTTGCCACCAAATTATGGATAGCTATACGTTTTGCACCACTAAAACGAAACGAAGATTCCAATGCCATTGACTGCAGAGTGAAAGACAACCGGAACAACTGTATCAACATCTAAAATGTTAAGTCATCAGCTCTGAAATGACATTCTAAAGACCTGAATGTAATCAACAAATCATTCACTGGACTGCAAACTGTCGGATTACCAAAACAAAGCTATGTTCAAATAAAATTTCCACAATATCCAACAGACGGGGTGGCGAAGTTTTGTAAGTAAAATTAAAGCAATGAAGAGGATATAAGCTAACAATGGACAGCATAAAACATCTCAGTATCTCTACACCATGGACAATGATATCATTGTACCTACACAATGGACAAATGCCAAAGGCTTAGCCATACCTCCATGATTATCTTGATGGAGCTTACAAAACTCTTCTCTAATTATATATATAATCCCAAACCAGGCAGTTTTAGAATCAAGCAGACAATCCTCTTCACACATCCTCCATGACTGAACCACAAACAACGACATCTTCACATATCCGCATCATTGGGCAACAAACTACGATATCCTTCTATTCGCCAAATATATTCCCGTAACATATTCCCATTTTAACGACCCATACCCATCAACTAAGCGGTATTCAATTACTTTTTTTGAAGGCAACGAACAAGGAGTTTGTTAGTTGATCATAATACTTGCTTTTTTGTATAACTAATTTATCACTGCTTACCAATTCATTGTGTAATATACATACATATTTTATATCCTTTTTCTTGTCAACTAATAATATTGTGCAAGAACAATACTACATCCCGAATAAATCTATATCGCTGAGGAACGAGTTCAACAGAATAACTTCCCCAACAAATTTTATGTGCCACGAGCCGGAAAACAATGTCATTAACGATAATACAAAGCGCAAACCCGGCGAAGAGGAAGCTAATCAAAGTTTTTAATGAAGTGAAAGAACTGGATCTGAGATCATTTGACAAACAATTCACGAAGAGTTATGCGAACATTATGAAGCACGAAAAGGAACTATCAAAGAAATAATAGGAAGGACTGAAGTACACCAGGAAATGTTGGAACGCATCAACAAAGAATGGATTTTATTCAAACGGTCTCTTCCCAACAACAGGAGGCAGAAAATAGAAAGTACGCAGAAATGACAGAACATGATCAAGAAATATTAAACCAGATAAAAAAAGTCAGGGGATGGAAGAGTGGCAACTTCAAGAGAGTTGAGTAATCTCAAACGAACTGTCACAATAAGAAAGCGAGGCAAATGTTCGAGTAGTTCAGAGAGCAACTGTCGAACTACCTCAACTGCAACTGTCAGTGTTTGGTGGGAATCCCCGAAACTGGAGAGCATTATGGAGCGGCTTTGAAGCAACGGTACATAACCAGGACCTTCCAGACATCCAGAAGCTCAATTATCATTTCATGTTTAAGAGGTGAAGCACTACAAGCAGTTAGGAGATTGCGAGATTGCGCCGAGATTGCGCCAGAGAATTACAGTCTTATTCGAGAGATACTGATAGAAAAATACGGTAATACGTGTACTATTACAAGTTTATTTTACAACGATATTTTCCCAGTCAAAAAAAATGATCGTGATTGGAAAACAACAATCGAAAATACAGAGAGATTACTCAGACAATTGCAGGAGTTGGGAGAAAATTTAGAAATACAAATTTGCAAATTTCGAAAGAAATTTACCAAACCATGTTCTGATTGAAGTTCATGAGCAAAGACTGGAAGTTTTGGTCAGTAAGCAAATTGAGACAGTTCTTGAGAGAGTTAATGAAGTTGAGGAAAGTTGTGGCGCAAAACCAAAATCCTCCTGATAAAATCAAGAAGAAGCCAACTCGACCTACCATAAATCGACAGTTCCGAAGTGACGGACAATTCAAAAATGAAATCACCCCAACAAGATCTTGTATCTTCAACAATAAAGATCATTGAGATGACAAATGTCAAAACTATTCAACCTTGAACCAACGGCTAGAGCGTTTGAGTGAAATTAGAGCTTGTCTAAAATGCATGAAATTGGGCCATACCGCAAGCAACTGTAGAATGAAAATGGCATGATGCTTCCACTGCAAGGGCCCAAACAAATAAAAGTTGTATAATAAACATAATACGAACGCTATTCAGACGAACAAATAAGTAAGGAAAAAGTGAAAACAATGTACACAACTAATTTAGTGAATGGTCAAAAGGATCCACAAGAAAGAAGAATTTTAGTACTGTGTAAAGAAGTTAGCGTAGTCAATCCCGAAACTCCGGGGATAGAAACACAAGCACTAATACTATTTGACCAAGGCGCGCAGCTGTCATTCGTTTCAAAGGGTTTAGCGGATCGACTAAGTTTGAAAGGAATTACGGAAGGAATAAGCATCGCTTCAGCGACAAATTACCGAAGAATTACTACTCCACAATGGCGAAGATTGGCATAAAGATATTGGAGAAAGAGATCACTTGTGAAGTGCATATTAAGGATTATCTAGCAAATAAATTGCAAGTGGAGCAGGTAAGTGAAAAGGATATATCATCATTGACAAAGTATGATCAGCTATCTAGGCTTAAAAAGTTACTGGAAACAATCTGATATATTTGTCGGCACGGATTATATGGATAAATTCATTGAATGGAGCAAAACGCAATGGCTGGAATCAGGATTTTTCCTGTTCCAGACAAAGGTGGGATCAATACTGAACGGAGCTGGATACACAAATAATACTGGCAGCATGAATGCAATATCAGTCGGGACTGTCGTAATGTGCGGGACTAAAGTAAATAAGGACCACGACATTAATCGTTTTTGGAACTCATGAGCATTCAGGATCAACCCGATAAAAATGACAACGGGCAAGCTCTAAAACAATGCAGTAGGAGTACTGTCAAACAGAAAGGGAGATATCAAGTCAGATGACCATGGGAAGAATCAGGAAAAATTAAGAAGTCATTGTGGATTCTGCGTCGGGCGCCTCATATTAATCAAACGACTAGAGAATAATGAAATATTGTTCACACAATACGACGAAACTATTCCAGATTAACTTGAAATGGAAATCATCGAAGTTCATCCCGAAATGGATCAAGAAGGCGTCAATCACGATTTACCACACCACGAAATTATAACTCCAGATAAAACGACGAGCTCAGAATTGTTCACGATGCTTCGGCATATCTTAAAAGTACGAAAAGCCTAAATGATGTTCTATATCGTGGACCTGTAATGCTCCCTGATTTGGTTCGGAATACTCCGCTTTCGAATAATGAAAAACGTCATTCTTCCAGACGTGGAGAAGGCATTTTTACAACTAGAATTGCATACAGCTGACAGAAACTGTACCAGATTTCTCTGGGTAAAGGATATTGGAAAGCCAGTTACTAAAGACAATATAAAGTGCTATCTCTTCAGAAGAGTCCCCTTTGGAGTAATCGTATCACCCTTTTTGCTTTCTGCAAACTGAATCACCAGTTTAGGAACTAATGGTAGTAAGACTGCGTTGGAGATCAGGAAAAATTTGTACGTGGACAACGTCATATTGTCAGCTAGAGGGACGAGAGAAGCGCTGGAGAAAAACCATGAAGTGAAGAATATTTTAAAGGAAGCAGCAATGAATATTCGGGAATTTCTAACGACAAAAACTTCAATAAGGGGATAGCTGAGCAAAACCGAGTCAGTGAAGGCCAACGAAAATCCCCGGCATCATTTGGATACATGACAAAGACATAATTAGGGTGACATTTAGAGCATGAAATGAGCAGGAGATCATAAAACGAAGCATTCTACGATTTGTGGCTTCTCAGTATTATCCTCTAGGATTTCTAGTTCCCGCGATGATACTACTCCAATTATTTTTTCAAAGCTCATGGAGAAGGAATAAAACTCGGGATGAAATTCTAAAAAAGAGGACGAGAAAATGTAGAAGTCTTTCACCAAGAAGTGGGCAGCAGATGTAATCAAAATACCAAGGTGGCCATAAACTCTACGAAACGAATGCAAATTCATGTCTTCAGGAGGCTTCAAACGTAACAGATGCAACAGCGATAAAAATTCTAAACATCAGTGCTATACGGGAGAAAACATCATTGATTTTCGCCAAATCTAAACTGGCTCCAATTAAAGGAATGAGCATATCTCGATTGGAAATGCTTGCAATACTTATTAGTATACGAGCAGTAAAGTTCGTCACGCAGCAATTGGAACTAAACGGGTGTCCAATAACCCTTCGGTTGGACCCGAATGTGCACTAAATTGGATAGGAAATCATTCGAAATTGTTGCCAAGATTCGTACAGAATCGGGTAGAAGAGATACGGAAAGCAAAGATTTCATTTCGATATATCCCAAGTGAGTATAACCCTGTTATGATGTCGGTACAAAAGGGCTTCCTCAGGAAAACTTAAGCAGTATGAATTATGGTGGAAAGAACCACAATGATTAAAAGAACCGAAACTATATAGCTTCAATGGGAATATCAGACCATGAAAGAGTACGAAGACGAAACAGAAGGACGAATCATTGCACAAGTCATGACTCGAAAAATCAAGAACACAAACTTCTGGATCACCGACGCAAACCGATTTAGCAAGTGATTGAAATTGGTAAAAACGACTACTTAGGTCCTTAAATTTATTAAAAGGACGATAAAAGGAAAATTGTCATGGTTAAATTCGTTATCGGCACAAGGACCAAGGACCCAAACAAACGACTAACAGTTGAAGATCGTAAATTAGCTGAGTGGGTGATCATTAAACAAGCACAAACAGAAACGATTACCGGAGAGAGAGAGAAATGGAACTTCTTATACTACGACGAGGACAAATTATGGAAATCACAAAGCCGCCTAGAAAATTCGGAATTGGATGAACAAAGCAAATATCCAGTTTATTTACCAAGACATAATGCAGCTACCGAGCTTTCAATACGGTAACAGCATGAGGCATAGTATTATGCCGGAACCGCACATACACTCTCAGAACTGAGACGTGAATTCTGGATACCAAAAGGCCGAACTGAAGTTACGTATTATCAACAACTACACCGGTTGTAAACGATGGTCAGCGAAACCATTCAAGTCGCCCATCATGCCGAACCTGCCAGAAACAGAGTCAGTCGATAAGAGCCTTTGCAAGTGTTGATTTGAACTACCTAGGTCCTCTCTCAATCAAAACAGAACGGAATACTCGAAAGATGGATTGCCTTATTCATATGCTTTACCACGAGAGTAATACATTTAGAAATAACAATTTATCTGCGGAAACTTCCCTCCACGTATTAAGATTCACATCCCGGCGGGGATATGCAGAGCGAGTCTTAAGTGATAACGCGGGTCAATTCCAATTAGTCTTTAAAACCATAAAGGAACAGCACATAAAACTAATGGAATTCTTGGTGGAAAAGGTGATTTGGGAGAACATAACTCCAAGAGCACCCTGGAGTGAAGGAATCTATGAACGACTGATTGCAATGACAAAAAGAACTATGAGAAAGGCCATCGGAACGAAGCTACTATGGGGAAAGGAATTCATAACTTTAATTGTGGAGAAAGAAGGTATCTTAAACACTAGACCACTGACGTATGCCAATTTTGACGATTATAAGGTAATACGTCCAGTTAATTCCATCCAACCTAATGCTTCCTTAGTTATACCAACAACTAATGACAATCATCCTGATTGTCAAGAATCCCGAAGAACCTATTGCACTGAGAACAAGAAGCAGAAGTAAAACGAAGAAACCTCTTTCTGCAGGCGTTGGTCTCCTTGAATTAGGAATGTCGGGTTACTGAAACAAAGCTATGTTCAAATAAGATTTCTGCAATATCCAACAGATGGGGTGACGAAATCTTTAAAATTAAAACAATGAAGAGGATATAAGCTAACAGTGGACAGCATAGCACAAAAACATCTCAGTATCTCTACACCATGAACAATGATATCACTTTACCTACACAGTGGACAATGCCAAAGGCTAGCCATACCTCCATGATAACCCCGATGGAGTTTACAAAACTCCCTAATTCTTTATATATATATATATATATATATATAT